GGGCCACCTGCTCAGAAGACCCTTCTGTGCTCAGAAGATCCTTCTATAAAATGGGTGGGTGGTTTCATCTCTACTTCTAGTGTGACTATGCATGCTGAATCACTTCAGCCGTGTCCGACTCTTTGTGACCCTATGGGCTGTAGCCCTCGGGGCTCCTCTGAGATTTTCCTGGCAAGAATAATGGACTGGGTTGCCATGCCCTCCTCCAGTTAGCTCCCGCATTGCAGGCAGATTCTTTACCAGCTGAGCCACAATGGAAGCCCAGTACTGGAGTGGGTAGCCCATCCCTTCTCCAGCGGATCTTCCCAACCCAGAAATCAAACCGGGGTCTCCTGCATTGCAGGTGGATTCTTTACCTACTGAGCTGTCAGGGAAGTCCTGAGTATTACCAGACGGTGTCTATTACTTCATTCAGGTTTGAATATGACTATCCTTCCTTGTTCAGTAAGCCTTATGTGTCAGCCCCAGACAATTCTCTGTCCATTCCTCTAGAACCACCCACAGTGTGTTTGGATCTGGACCTCAAGACACCTGACCTTAATTGTGAAACTTGTTTTTCATTCAGATAGGCTATAAGCTTTTCTGCTTGTTGACACCTATTAAGGGCACAGGCTTGGCTCTTCATCTTATAATGCCACCATCTCTCAGAGTGATTAACCCATAAATGTTTGATGGAAGTTATCAAACTCAGATTCTTCTATCTAGTCAACTCCTGCATATTTGTGCTTGGGTTGGAGAGGAATGGGAAGGTAAACTTGCCTGTCAGTTCTCAGCCTCAGCTTGACTGCTGATTATGTCCTGTGCCAAAAGAATGTAGGTGAAACGATCTTCTGAAGAGTTCTTTATAGACTAATATTAACATTAGTTTGTGTTTCTGGAGTTTAGACAAGCAGTGGAGAGTTTCAACTTGCTGTTAAAACACGTATGTTATTCCTAGGGAACAAGATGACTTAGAATTTTATTTTTTTTATCCAAGAAAATTTGTTACAGTAATGACTGTTTCTAATAGTTTATATATCTTTCACAAACACCTGGGTAAAATAATTTCTCGAATCAGTAATTTGCTTTTTCTTGAACAGTAGTTATAAATCCTGTCCAAATATTTCAGAATCTTCTGTCATGTCTTGAACATTTCTGTTTGGGGTCAGAAAATACTGGGCTGATTAATGTATAATATACCATGCAAGTCTAAATAAAAAGCTTTTGCACACAAAATATTTATGAAATATATGTTGGGCTCAATATACAAATATATATATATACATATATCTTTAAATAATATGTTTCTCTTCCACTAGTGTTGGGGTTCTTAAAGTGAGTCCATAGACTCTCAAAATGGAAGCAAAATCAATGAACTTGGACAGGAAAATAATTGTTATTTTCCCAGTCTCCAAGTGAAGTTTAGCATTTCTGCTAATGAGGAATTTCCTTGAATGAGGGTAGCAAAACAGACCTGATAGTATTTATGGTTTTTGTCACCAATAGGACAGATATTCTCATAGCATAATATAGTTGTTGCAGATATCTTAAATTGTCATTTGTGATTTAAAATTACCATTGTTAATAGGCCTACTTCTAGATCTTGCACTTAATGTTTTAGGAATGAGGCATTACTATGCAGCATATTTGTTTAATATTTTAATAACTTATTAGATTATAATAGTACATATCTTGGTTTGTACTTTTAAAAACATTATTCTGAAGAGTAGTTCTAGGTTCAGGATGGGGAACACATGTACACCATGGCTGATTCATGTCAATGTATGGCAAAACCACTACAATATTGTGAAGTAATTAGCCTACAATTAAAATAAATAAATTTTAAAAAATAAAAATAATAATAAACAGACTATTTTTTTTTAAATGAAGAGTAGTTCTGCCAGAGAGGCCTGTGGTTCATACATACCCACACGCAAAAAAAACCCCTCTACTAGAATATCTCAGTAAAATTTTTGTAATATTTTTAATAGGTGTTTCAAAGGAAATGAGATATATGTTGTTATTAGTAGTTCTTAAATTGTAGTCAGAAGTTTTTGTTCTTTATCAGACATCTAAGATAAAATAAAAAGACATAGGATTCATTTTACTTCTTGAAGACTATTCTTGTGAAAAGTAATTTTGTAAGAATTAAAGATTAGTGTCTTTTAAATCTCAGACATATGTGTTATTATATTTCAGGAGTATCCAGATTTCTAAAGTCCCTAAGAAATAAATAGTTCTAACAAGTTAAAAGTGAACTAAAAATGTATTTACACTTTGAATCTCATTTGAATAGGATAAGTGTCATTTTAAAAACAAGCTCTCAATTTTCCATTTCAGAGGAAACTTTACTTTGAAATGTTATGGGCTAATATTAAATGACTTTCATTCTCTCTGGTTTGAACATCCTCTGTGAAAGAAGTTTAGAAATTTAAATAGGTACAGGAAGTAAATTTTAAAACTTGACTTTTTTTTAAACTGTCTTTATCTAATGGGTAGCTTCCACACAGATATTAAGATTGCATTTGAAATCTGTACTTTATTTTAAAAAAAGACCTAATATCATTCTGTTTCCTTGTCCACCTCAACAATTTTTTTAAAAAGTCCTTACTAGTACAGTTGAGTGAAAGTATAACATTTGTTTAGTTTTAAGTCTTTACTGTTTGTTTGAAATAATGTTTAAGGAAGAATTTGCAAGGTAAAAAGGACTTAGTGAATATTTCAACTAATAATAAGTTGATAGTATATTGTTATGAATGACAAGTCATTGGAACAGTCCTTTTTTTTTTTTTTAAACTTTATGGTATTGATTTAAAATGTTATTGTCTCCCAGTTCTGTCCTGCTAGGTATATGACATCATGTTTGGTCAACAGGGAAGGGTGTGTTGCAGACTTGAAAATGTATAATCCTTTAAGAATTTTGTGAAACAGGTTACAAGAGTTGAAATGTAGAATCCAAAACTGCAAGATATTATTTTGACTTGTATAAGCAGTCTTACTTGTAAAGGATATATTTAAAGAGTTACAAATGTTTTTGTTTTTATTTCATATGTATATTTTGCCAATTAAAATTCTTTATATAGAACATATTACTTGGTGGTGAGAATGAGGCAAATCACATTATTTAACCTGTTTTCATAAATCACGTAATTTTTATATGTTGGCATTGCTTCACCTGTAATAGGTACTTCATCAGTAGTAAACAGTAAGTGCTTCTTAAGACATATTCTAGTGGGCTTAGAAATTATATCCTTAATTATTAAAGTATTTTCTAATAATTTGCTTTGTTATTACAAGAATTGTTTTATGTATCTAAAGGTTCAGTAGATGCCAAGTTCAGAGTTGTAAGGTTTCTGCATCAGTTGGCCAGTTGAGTATCTCAGTAGCATGCATACATCAGTGGAAATGATCAAATATTAATACATACATCTCTGAAGTTTTTTTAAAAAATCGTTTACCATGTCAGTAAACAATTTTGAGCATGTCATCTACGTGTGGAGTTCTTTTTAATTAATAAACTGTAGTTTTATATGGAGAAGGTAATGGCAGCCCACTCTATTACTCTCACCTGGAAAATCCCATGGACAGGAGCCTGGTGGGCTGCAACCCATGGGGTTGCTAAAAGTCAGACAGGGCTGAGCGACTTCACTTTCACTTTCCACTTTCATGCATTGGAGAAGGAAATGGCAACCCACTCGTGTTCTTGCCTGAAGAATCCCAGGGACAGGGGAACCTGGTGGGCTGCCGTCTGTGGGGTCGCACAGAGTCGGACACAACTGAAGCAACTTAGCAGCAGCAGCAGCATAGTTTTATATAATCACAAGCCAATATCTCATTGTGCAGTATACAGTTATGGTGAAGTTCATATAGCTTCAGTAACTTTAAATATTTTAGGTAACTTGTCAGATTTAATTTTTTTTTTTACTTTGAAACAGAGAAAAAGAATTAGCTCTTCCATTATTATTGTTTATTTGCATTGCCATCTTTGATATTAACATCAAATTGTGATCCTTGCAGAAATCCTTTTAAGCAATGTGTCTATTTGTGAGAGGCCATTAGTTTAAAACTATATGCTATTGAAAATTCACTTTACTAAACCTACTAAGCTCCTGTGTATTGAAAAGCAAATTAGCACTGCTGTCAGTTGTCAGCACTTTGGGACATCTGCCCTCCCTCTAGAGCTGGCCTATACCATTCCTGATACTTGGCCATCAGCTTTGGAACTGCAAATATAATCCCAACAGGAATTCTTATTCTTTTCTGGGAAAGGTATACATCGGAATGAAAACTGCAGAGAAAGGTAATGCATAGTTGAAAGTGTTCATCCTTTAATCCAGCAGTTCCACTTCTTTGTGTCTTTCCTGAGAAACTCTTCTGTGTGTATACAATATGTACAAGGGTACTTATTTAAGCACTCTTCATGATAACAACAAAAAGTAGAAACTTTTTCTGTTTTTAAGTAGGGAAATAGATCAACTGTGCTTTTTATTTGTATATTGGTACATTTTATAGCAGCAAAAATGAGTGAACTAGATATCTTTAATGTATATCTCAGGTTATATAACATGTAATCCCATCTGTTTAAATGTATTAAACACAGATAGTAATGTGTATTGTTTGAGTACATAAATATATGCTAATAGATTCAAAATATACATGGGAATCATATACCAATTTTATGGTAGTGGTTACCCTTGAGTCTGGGGTAGGATGTGAGCTATATCAATACTGTTTTAATTTTGGAGAGAGAGGGGGAAGATGTTGAATCTGAAGCAAGTATGGGAAAACGTTATGCTGACTTGTACGTATATGAATCATACTGTTGGCTGTATAGATATTCCTTCTTTTGAATTTTTTTTCGTTTTGTCACATGACTGAAATGGCAGTAAGATATTCTGATTTTGTTTATTGGATTTTATTTTCTTGTTTATCATTTATTCTCATAGATTGTCTAGAAGTTTAATTGATGGTATGTCAGTCAATGAAGATTTTTATATAAAGTTACTTTCTTTGTTTTACAGGAAAAACGTCAGAGAGAGGCTCATTTTCCCTGTACAGCAGAGATACTGGATTACCAGGCTGTCAAGTAAGTTAATAAATACAAAATCAGTGCGATAATTTCTTAACATGTAAATAAAGACGGTAACAGAGGAGGTGGAAATTTATCCAGTTTATTTCACCCTTTTTGTGCATTTAATTTGTGCCTAAATGTAGTGGGGTTTTAGTAATTAGACATTTTCTTTCTGCTCCTCTGTTTGAAATGGTTTCCATTCTGTGGTTCACCAAACTATTTCTCTATCGTCAAAAGAATTTCATAACTCACCTCCATTTTAACTGGAGGCAAAGTACCAGTTACCTTCCTCACATCTTCCAAAATGCTGATTTCTGAAAATGATGTCTGTTTATTTCCTCATAAAAAGAACAGTGTTGCTGGTAAACTTCAAGAAGAACATGAAATTGCTCTGTGAGACTTGACTGTCTTATGTTAAACTTACTAATGTTGGAAGTAGTTTCATCATAATCTGTTACTAAACTCAGGTCCGGCTATTTGCTACTTGCAAATCAATACCTGAGGAGCAGGTGTTGGTAGAAAGGAAAGTTGCTTTTGATCAGAAAGTTGACAATCTGGGGAGAAGGCAGACTTGAATCCCCCTGCCAGTTCTGAAGATGCTGCTCAACCATGACGGTTTATAAAGGGGGAGAAAGGGGGGAATTAATTTCAGTTAATCGTTGAGATGAAGAGTCAGAGACATTGCCACTCCCCACTGCATGTAGTCTTATTGACTTCTTGTGATCTTTCTTTAGAGGCAGTCTTTTTTTTTTTTGGTCACAGGACATCATGTGAGATACTAATTCCCTGGCCAGGAGTCGAACACCTGCCCCCTGCGATGGGAGCATGGAGTCTTAACCACTGGACTGCCAGGGAAGTCCCTTAGATGTCATCCTGTTCTCAAGTTTGTTCACACAGTTTGTCCATGAGATTACTAAAGGGGAAGCTAGGGAGGAGGTCTGATGGTCATCTGTTACTTATTCTTCATTTCGTCATTATTGATCTGTGGAAGGAAACAGCAGGTGAGGCAAGGTATTATATGATCAAAAGATTTGAAAACTGCTTGGGCCAGAGATAAGCAGAGCATGACAGGTACCTGGTTTAAGGGTAGTTGTAATACAGCTTTGCTAAAGTAACACGACACAAAGGGTTTCCTGCTGAGGGGAATTTCTTGGAAAGAGCTCCTTGCAGATGTGCAGTGAAACCATTTTTAGAGTTTCCTCCAGTCTCTTTGACTTGGAAATGTTCTTTCAACTCTTCATATTCCTTAGTATATTGCATTTCTACTAATGGCCATTTCCTCTGCTTTTTCCCCCACATCTTTACACTGAGAATCCTAAATACACAGTTTGCATGCAGATTCCCATCACAATCAAGCCAAAAAACATACAAAGGAAAGGCAGAATACATTTAAGTGTTTTCTGCTGTCTGCATGCCTTTCATAAGACCCACCTTAACTTTAGACATGGGCACTTAACTGTCACAGTAACAATGAAAAGTAAAGTGAAAGTGTTAAGTCGTTCAATTGTGTCCAACTATTGGAGACCCATGGTTTGTAGCCCTCCAGGCTCCTCTGTCCTTGTAATTCTCCAGGCAAGAATACTGGAGTGGTTTACCATTCCCTTCTCTAGGATATCTTCCTGATACTAGTAACTATCCCATAGTTGTGCCATTCAGAATACCTAGCTTCAAATCTCATCTCTGTGATTACTGACCTGTGGTTCTAAAACAAGTCATTTAACCTTAAATCGAATCTCTGCATTGACTTCTTCATTTGGAAAACAGAATTAGCAATTTTTTTCCCCACGTATGTAAGTCTCAGAAGGCTAAACTGCTGTACAGGAGACAGGGATTAAGACCATCCCCATGGAAAAGAAATGCAAAAAAGCAAAGTGGCTGTCTGAGGAAGACTTACAAATAGCTGTGAAAAGAAGAGAAGCAAAAAGCAGAGGAGAAAAGGAAAGATATTCCCATCTGAATGCAGAGTTCCAAAGAATAGCAAGGAGAGATTTTAAAAAAGCCTTCCTCAGTGATCAATGCAAAGAAATAGAGGAAAACAACAGAATGGGAAAGACTAGAGATCTCTTGAAGAAAATCAGAGATACCAAGGGAACATTTCATGCAAAAATGGGCTCGATAAAGGACAGAAATGGTATGGACCTAACAGAAGCAGAAGATATTAAGAAGAGGTGGCAAGAATACACAGAACTGTACAAAGAAGATCTTCACAACCCAGATAATCACTATGGTATGATCAGTCAGCTAGAGCCAGACATCCTGGAATGTGAAGTCAAGTGGGCCCTAGAAAGCATCACTACGAACAGAGCTAGTGGAGGTGATGGAATTCCAGTTGAGCTATTTCAAATCCTGAAAGATGATGCTGTGAAAGTGCTGCACTCAATGCCAGCAAATTTGGAAAATTCAGCAGTGGCCACAGGACTACAAAAGGTGAGTTCTCACTCCAATTCCAAAGAAAGGCAATGCCAAAGAATGCCCAAACTACCGCACAACTGTACTCATCTCACACGGCAGCAAAGTAATGCTCAAAATTCTCCAAGCCAGGCTTCAGCAATACGTGAACCATGAACTTCTAGATGTTAAAGCTGGTTTTAGAAAAGGCAGAGGAACCAGAGATCAAATTGCCAACATCTGTTGGATCATCGAAAAAGCAAGAGAGTTCCAGAAAATCATCTATTTCTGCTTTATTGACTATGTCAAAGTCTTTGACTGTGTGGATCACAGTAAACTGTGGAAAATTCTTAAAGAGATGGGAATACCAGACCATCTGACCTGTCTCTCAAGAAACCTGTATGCAGGTCAGGAAGCAACAGTTAGAAATGGACGTGGAACAACAGACTGGTTCCAAATAGGAAAAGGAGTACGTCAAGGCTGTATGTTGTCACCCTGCTTATTTAACTTATATGCAGAGTACATCATGAGAAACGCTGGGCTGGAAGAAGCACAGGCTGGAATCAAGATTGCCAGGAGAAATATCAATAACCTCAGATAGGCAGACGACACCACCCTTATGGCAGAAAGTGAAGAGGAACTGAAAAACCTCTTGATGAAAGTAAAGGAGGAGAGTGAATAAGTTGGCGTAAAACTCAACATTCAGAAAACTAAGATCATGGCATCTGGTCCCATCACTTCATGGGAAATAGATGGGGAAACAGTGGAAGCAGTGTCAGACTTTATTTTGGGGGGCTCCAAAATCACGGCAGATGGTGATTGCAGCCATGAAATTAAAAGATGCTTGCTCCTTGGAAGGAAAGTTACGACCAACCTGGATAGCGTATTTAAAAGCAGAGACATTACTTTGTCAACAAAGGTCCGTCTACTCAAAGCTATGGTTTTTGCAGTGGTCATGTATGGATGTGAGAGTTGGACTGTGAAGAAGACTGAGCGCCGAAAAATTGATGCTTTTGAACTGTGGTGTTGGAGAAGACTCTTGAGAGTCCCTTGGACTACAAGGGGATCCAGCCAGTCCATCCTTAAGGAGATTAGTCCTGGGTGTTCACTGGAAGGACTGATGCTGAAGCTGAAACTCCAATACTGTGGCCACCTCATGTGAAGAGTTGACTCATTGGAAAAGCCCCTGATGCTGGGAGGGATTGGGGGCAGGAGGAGAAGGGGACAACAGAGAATGAGATGGCTGGAGGGCATCACTGACTCGATGGTCATGAGATTGGGTAGACTCCGGGAGTTGGTGAATGGACAGGGAGGCCTAGTGTGCTGCGATTCATGGGGTCACAAAGAGTCAGACACGACTAAGCGACTGTACTGAACTTAACTGAAACCTTCTAAACTCATGCTTGATACTGTAGAATTCCTTACTTCCCTCTCATTTAATTTGTTTGGTCAAGGAGAGGCCTGAGAACTTGTGTTTTTAATACATGCCTCAGGTGATTTTAATTCCCATGAACTGGGGATTGTGCTTTGAGAATCCCAGTTCCTTTGTATACCGCAAAGGTAAGCACATACGGAGTATTAAAAAAGGAACTACAAAAAAAAAAAAATTAAAAAGGAACTACAAGATCATTGTTTAATAATTATCCTGTGTTGGAGAGATCAGGCTGGCCCATGAAAAAGAGAACGAGGTTATGGGAATATATAAAATATAAAATAATGATATTGCTGTATCAGGAAGTTTTATAGATATTCGAATCAGGAAAAAATTTGTTTTTGAAGAATGCACAGAAACAATGCTTCAACCCCAAAAAGAAAGCCCAGAATTGAGCACAGAGTAGAGAAGATAATACTGCAGTAAGAATAAATAACGTCAGTGAAGACTGGAGGTCTCTTAAGTAAAAGGTTTCCTTAACTGTGAATGGAACAATGGCTTTGCTATTTATTACTGTTACTTAGCTCTGACTATGCTACAGTTGCTGGCAGAAATTACTGTGGATCATACCAGCTGATTTGAAGCCTAAGTAGTAAATTCAGGAGTTTAAAAAAGTGTATCACTCCCATTCAAAAAAACCCCTGTATTTCAAACAGTACTTACTATAATGAGTCAAAGAAAAAAAATACATGAAAACAACTGGCTGCCATTTTGTCTTACCTATTCACAAGCAACATAATAATCTTAACCACACAATGATAATGGAGGAAAATATAAATAGTGGCTACAAAGTTATATCTAAACACCACTTTGAAACCATTTTTCCTCAACAAAATCCCTAAGGAACATTTATTTTGCTATTAATGTACTTAAAATGCTGCTGACATACCACAGAATTCAGGCTAATTTAATAGTGCCTGATGGACCTTACTTCATGTAAAGATGATGTAATAATATGTTGCTAAATGAGTCTGCTCATATTACCTTCATGGCAATTGCATAACTGATGAGCCATTAAAAGGAAACTGGTGTTGCAGTATTACTGGAAACATTGATAGATCATTCTGCAATTGAATTTTTTTTTTTTTGATTTAACAGAGCATAGAAGCCAACATCATTATTAACAGTAGGTATGGGGACAATAAATTGGAAGATTGGGATTATACACACTACTATATATAGGTAACTAATAAGG